ATCATGATCATCCTCTTCATCGATTTAGTCAAAATCAACATTAGCCTCATTGTTATCGACATCATCATGATCCCAGTCATCATCACAATAATAAACATCATTAAATGCATAATATTATATATATTATTGTCATTCTGGTGACTCAGGTCACTCTTGCAAATGATGCGATTCTAATTTCGCGAGGCCTCGTCTGGTTGAACAAAATAAAATGGAATTTAGTCTTTGTCTGTGTTGTGCCCGTCATCGTTGCCATCACCATCGTTAACATTACCGAAATCATCCTAGTCTTCGTAATCTTTGGTTAGAGCAGAGTAGGACACGATCGGCAGTGGAAAGTGTGTGGCTAAATCAACCCCTTGAAGTATGGTGAAGCAAGTCCATTTAAGCCTTGAACACAAGTAGATACATCTTAAAGTCTGGGTTTGCGTATTGTCAAATATCATCCCATTCCCATACGCTTGCCACCTGTCTTTGTTGTCAGTTGAGTAACAATACGCCACTGAGTACAATGCATTGACGCGTATTTCTACCGTCTCCCTATATGCATGTATTCAGAGGTGGCAACCATAGACTCCCACATGCAAAGGACAGTTAAGCTGTGTTACAACAGGTGGAATTAATTGGTGTGCATCTTCTTCAGTGCTGTTACCTCCTCTAATGCATCAGTTGCCACTTGGTACTGATGCTTCTGCTCGTGATTTTTTTTTATCAAGGATTGGCCAAACATTCCTAGCAATACTTTACCTGAATAAGTGGTTCGAGCCTCAGTTGACATATTATTGAGTAATTAAGGATATAATTTCATGAACACTTGAACGCAACATAACAGATGTGTCAAAGTTGCAATGGGAATAAATTAAACTACTTTGCGATGTGCAAAATTAATTTATAAACAACGCTTAGTTATGGGGTTTAATAACGTGACATTAAAGTGGAGAATTATGCCTGCCCTAATGAATTAACATTATTTTATTGCAATGTTTCTCGCTTGAGATGCATGCTCCATGACACGATGTAAATCCCTGATTTATGCTCGTAATTTGGCATTATGCCCCGAAGCCCTTTGCAATTTTAAAAATCATCCTTCAATGTCTTTGCAGCCCACATTGCATCTCCCACCTTAGGCCCTGACTCAACCCAAATACTTTGCACAGCATCTCATGAAACTCGTAGGGAAAGTATCCAGTTCTAAAATGTTTAACTTTTTATTCAATATTAGGGAAAATACAGTTTTGTTTGCTTTCGCAGTGAGATCATCTACTCTGCGCATAGAAACACACCCTGTATGATCATACCACCCAGAATGCACCTGATCTCGTCATATCTCAAAAGCGAAGTGAGGTCGAACCTGCACAGTGATTGGATGGCAAACCACCATGCCAAATAAGTATATTGAGATTGGTCATAGACACGTAAATGCTTTGAATACAAATGTTAGTGAGACCAACTGAGTCACAGACGTTGTTCCTTTTAGAGGCACATTTATTGTAACACCGTAACACAAAGGGGTAACGGCCCCTTTACCCGATACAGCCGAGGGTGGTGACCACCCAGTTAACTACGCTATACAGATGGGTTACTGCTACGAAGCGTCGGACCCTCACTTTGGTCTCCGACCACGTGGTTGCCTCGTAAGACGAAGAGCTTCCAACTTGAGGCGTAGAGCTTCCCTCTTGTAGGTGTTGAGCTTCCAGCTTGTAGAATGCAGCGACCCCGGTCCCTCTCACGGACCCGCCTTATATCCCCCTACGGTCGGGGGCCCCGCCCGCCTTCTCGAGCATTCTCGTCCCCTCTCGATCCTTCTCAAGAGCTCTCCCCGGACACGTGATCACTCACTAGCCCCCCCACCTAGGGCCCCCTGTGTGGACACTCCGGATCACGTGTCTACGGGGTCAACCAGAGTGCCATGGCCCGGGGCACCCTGCCCCTGGCCTGACACTCACCCCTCCTCCTTGTGGGAGCCCCCACCACACACTGTGTGTGGTGCCCGCACTATCCCAGTGCTGACAAAGCCCCGCTAGGGCTGGTATTACACACAGCCACCCACACGGTGCTGTCCACGCTAGGGCTGGTGTTACACACAGCCACCCACACGGTGCTGTCCACGCTAGGGCTGGTGTTACACACAGCCACCCACACTGTGCTGTCCACGCTAGGGCTGGTATTACACACAGCCACCCACACGGTGCTGTCCACGCTAGGGCTGGTATTACACACAGCCACCCACACTGTGCTGTCCACGCTAGGGCTGGTATTACACACAGCCACCCACACGGTGCTGTCCACGCTAGGGCTGGTATTACACACAGCCACCCACACTGTGCTGTCCACGCTAGGGCTGGTGTTACACACAGCCACCCACACGGTGCTGTCCACGCTAGGGCTGGTGTTACACACGGCCACCCACACGGTGCTGTCCACGCTAGGGCTGGTGTTACACACAGCCACCCACACAGTGCTGTCCACGCTAGGGCTGGTGTTACACACAGCCACCCACACGGTGCTGTCCACGCTAGGGCTGGTGTTACACACAGCCACCCACACTGTGCTGTCCACGCTAGGGCTGGTGTTACACACAGCCACCCACACGGTGCTGTCCACGCTAGGGCTGGTGTTACACACAGCCACCCACACTGTGCTGTCCACGCTAGGGCTGGTGTTACACACAGCCACCCACACGGTGCTGTCCACGCTAGGGCTGGTGTTACACACAGCCACCCACACGGTGCTGTCCACGCTAGGGCTGGTGTTACACACAGCCACCCACACAGTGCTGTCCACGCTAGGGCTGGTGTTACACACAGCCACCCACACGGTGCTGTCCACGCTAGGGCTGGTGTTACACACAGCCACCCACACGGTGCTGTCCACGATGTCGGAACATTGAACAGCACGGCCCTTCTGGGCCGGCACCATACAGTGAGTGACATCCCCGATGTCACTACACAATTATTGTTTCATCGATTAATTTTCACCTCCATCTGTGGGGATATTATAAATGGATCATCTTTATTTTAGTTCTGAATAGATATGCATTCTGTTTTTGTGTGTATCGTGCTCAGATTCTGCTATCATATGGTCTTGCTGTGCAGCTCAAAAAGCTAAGGCTTTGCTATATATTGGCTGTGTTAATGGAGTGACAGAACCCACGTGTTCATCAATTTACACATCCAACCATCCAGTGCAACGTGATGGCAAACGTGTGCACTATCCACATTGTGGGTTTTATGGCACAGTGTTTCCCCATGTGGTCGTTATGAAATGGTAGTAACATCAACAATTCTGTAAAATAATTGGTTCTTTACCCTTCTATCTGGCAACAAAACTGACACCTTTTTGCAAGGAGTCATGTTTGCATAGACCGCAATACCTGCAGTCATAATACAAACAAAAGAACATAACTCTGATAATGTGCACTGTCCTTGAAGTTGATTGGTCCACACCCGAGACAGCTTTCCTTCGAGCCTAGTCTCATATGGGTTGGACCAGATGACGCCAAAAGGCGCACAACTCAAGGACAATGCACCATCAGAGTTTGAGAGCTCGGGGCAAGCATCTACACTATGGGGACCTCATTTGCCAGTAAAAATATGATAATTGGTTCTTTACCCTTCTATCTGGCAACAAAACTGACACCTTTTTGCAAGGAGTCATGTTTGCATAGACCGCAATACCTGCAGTCATAATACAAACAAAAGAACATAACTCTGATAATGTGCACTGTCCTTGAAGTTGATTGGTCCACACCCGAGACAGCTTTCCTTCGAGCCTAGTCTCATATGGGTTGGACCAGATGACGCCAAAAGGCGCACAACTCAAGGACAATGCACCATCAGAGTTTGAGAGCTCGGGGCAAGCATCTACACTATGGGGACCTCATTTGCCAGTAAAAATATGATAATTGGTTCTTTACCCTTCTATCTGGCAACAAAACTGACACCTTTTTGCAAGGAGTCATGTTTGCATAGACCGCAATACCTGCAGTCATAATACAAACAAAAGAACATAACTCTGATAATGTGCACTGTCCTTGAAGTTGATTGGTCCACACCCGAGACAGCTTTCCTTCGAGCCTAGTCTCATAAAGCTGTCTCAGGTGTGGACCAATCAACTTCAAGGACAGTGCACATTATCAGAGTTATGTTATTTTGTTTGTATTATGACTGCAGGTATTGCGGTCTATGCAAACATGACTCCTTGCAAAAAGGTGTCAGTTTTGTTGCCAGATAGAAGGGTAAAGAACCAATTATCATATTTTTACTGGCAAATGAGGTCCCCATAGTGTAAATTCTGTAAAACTTAAGATATTATAACAATGATTTCACGTGTGTTTATGTTTGTCTTTGAGCGTGTGTGGAAACTGATGCAGTCATTATCTCTCTGAACCTAGAAATTTGAGTTAGACTCCTGGCCATGGCTAACATCAGTCACCAGTGATATCTGAACAGGTCCTGGACCTCACCTGGGTTCACTCATCCTTAAATGGATACCTTTTTACTTCATGTGAACATCAGCACTGTGGAGACAAAGATGACCAGGTGTGGTGTTGACTGCACCACCCCTCTTTGTAACACACTAGCTTTAATAGGTGCTGCTTAGAGATTTTTGCCCCAACAGTAAAGTTCAAGTTTATTTTGTTTAACCACAAAATCAAAATCCCAGGATAGCCTCATTTGCAAGAATGATCTGGGGCATTGGTCTGCAAGTAGGAGGTGTTGATGACTATGTATAATCCCACATTTGGACCCTGGGGATAGCACGTAATTGCCTACTCTTGATAATGAGGTCATCGGGATATTTAACGTCCACTACGAGTAAAGCATTATCCTCACCGTTATTACACCCACATTAGTGATCAGGACGGCCTCTGGATTCAAACCGTGCAACAAGCGGTGAACACGCTACCGCTAGCCCATGTCACCACCCACTCTATGTAGGCTATATGAAGGGGTGTTTGTAATTTATATGTGTGTGTCTGCATATTCATTCCAATACCCTAGTCTGATATGTATGCAGGGGCTATTTTCATTCAACTTACACTGGGCTGGGACCTCTACACATCTATTCTTGTGCTGCTGGGTATCACCGCTCTCTACACAATCACAGGTGGGATCCATTGTGCACGATACGCGATCAGTTCCATCTATATTTATCTAGCCTCGAGTCATGACAAATCGCATAGGTGCTTAGGTCAGGCACATGTCTGCGTAAGCTATTGCAGCTACAGTCCCAATACGGATGAGAAAGTTTGACTTCTTCACTTTCAGTTTCAATCACAAACATACCAATGAAGGACAGAACCAAATACTCAACACTTTAAGCATGCTGTGTTGTTTGTGGACGAAAGCGATTGCTAAATCTGTCATGACTGTTTTTGATCAAATTCACTCCTGGAGTCAATGTTGCAGGAATATGGATGCAATCCTGGTGCGTTCGGTGTTACTCAGATGGGCATGCCACCTGAATTTTCGACGAAAATCAACAAGTAAATGATTTTGGTTATAATAAATAGATACAACCTGCTGAAAAAACCCCCACTCTATATCAATAGCTTCACCTTATTGAAAAAACACGAAAAAATATATAATCATGATTTCAAGTTGCTTTAAATGACCCATCATAACCCCTTGAATTGACATTGGTTTATCATATCATGGTTTTGCGACAGCAAATGCTCAATCGCAACATCTTTATGGCAGTTCAGGTAGAAATACTCATTCTGAGAATGAATGTATCTAAAGTTTAGTGTTAATAATGCGTATGGGTCAGATTCACAACGAAACAGTGGAGAGACTAGCAAGTTTGTTCTGTGCCAAAAATCCGACGAAGCAACCCATTTTCTCACGTGGGAATCTGAACCATATTCTTATTGAGGGCTAAAAATAACTTTCAAATACTTTTGGAAGGCCACACATGAACACACACCTCAGTCACGTGTAATGACAAAAGTGAGTTAGCATGTTGTAAGTATAAGCACAATGTTGCCAGGTTGAAAATATTCCCCCTCTAGTACCCGATTAGTGGGGTTAAAATGTTGGCAGTGACGGATCTTGGAGGTCGTATGTCTGCTGTGCAGCAACTGTGGGATCTAGCAGAAGATAATAAGTACAACCCGTAAAAACAAAGTTTTTCACTATAAATCCTTTATATGCGTGGCGGCTAGAGTCCTCTCGTCCTCTGGCTTGAGATGGCTGCCACCTATGGGTCAGATGATTGTCTGCCAGTATTAAGCAATTGGTAATTAAATATTTAATTTGTTTTCCCTAAACAGTGTAAAATTTTTGAATTTTTTTTCACGAACATTAATCGTCTCGCACAACGAGTCTGTGTGCAAAATGTCAGCTCGATTGGATCACGGGAAGTGGGTTAAAAAACGACCGAAAGATTTGCACGGTCGTAAGCAAGCAAGCAAGCACGCAAGCAAGCGAACTTAATATAAAGGATTTAAAATTAACCCGTAAAAACAAAGTTTTTCACTATAAATCCTTTATATGCGTGGCTTTTTTCACGAAAATTAATTGTCACGCACAACGAGTCTATGTGCAAAACGTCAGCTCGATTGGATCACGGGAAGTGGGTTAAAAAACGACCGAAAGATTTGCACGGTCGTAAGCAAGCAAGCGAACTTAATATAAAGGATTTAAAAAGCATTGGCGACGTGTGGTGACATTCACAACATTGGCCATTATGATATCTCAATATTGAGTGATGAATACATATTGTTTGTGGACTGTTACTAAGTGGTAAACCTCATGCAGCAGTGTGCCATATGGCTAGATGTGGCCTGCGGCTGTATGCTGCAATCTGGTCATAATCCATCCAAACGTTTTCAAGGTATTAATACAAACATGTGGAGTTTACGCGACCAGTCCCTATGCCAGTGTTGGTCTTTCTGTTGCCGAAACCAGGTTTTCATTTGCCGAGTTTAAAGTGGGGCTTTTTTCTGTTATTCATTACTTTTATGATAGGGTAATGTGCCATCGCCATTTATAACAATAATAATATTCGTAATTTATACAAGATAGCATCACTGATTGTGAAGAATCTTTAAGAATGGCTCTGCTATGGGATATTTGGTCAGTTTGTTAATTAATTTTGTTTTGAATGTGGGGTGTTTGCATTGGGTTGCCAGTGAAAAGCCACGCATGCATAGGGATAACAATAAAATATCCAGGCAGTTTGGCATCCTGCTTTCTGTACTGCCACGCACTGGCCACCCTTGCAGCCCAGCAAGTCTGTGAATTGCATTCACACAATTATCTCCACCAATCTCACCTCCAAATTGCTGGATAACAGATGTGTGCCACCACACCTATTCTTTATGATTAAGAGCAAAAACATGTGTATTTTTCCAGGGGGACTGAAGGCTGTGATCTACACAGACACCTTCCAGCTGGTCATCATGCTCGTGGGCAGCTTTGTCCTCATGATCCTCAGTAAGCTGCCCTCTAAACCACAGACTTCATGCAGACATTTTGTCTGAATTTTCTAAAAAAATCCACAATGTGTCTCACGCTTGGTACTTTCGAATCAAAATATATATGGACTATTTATAACCTATAGGCATATTAAGGATCCATTTATTTAGCAAATTAAATCAATTCTCATATTCACAATAATGAATCTATTTGGCTGTAAGAATCCAACCCTAAACCATTTATCCAGTGGCATACCCATGGTTGGCACGGGCCCTGAGACGAGGAAGGATATAGGTCCTCCGATCCCATTACTCCCTCCACTTCCTCCAACCACCTTTGCAGCTCAGCATTTGGGGCCCTCCATCCCATGCATCCCGATGCAGCTGCAGAGCCTGCACACTCATTAACTACACCACGACAACCCACCTTATAACCCGGTTGCGCTGCCACAGGTTTCATGAAGGTGGGCAGCTTTGAGGAGCTGCAACTCCGCTACTCTAGGGCCATGCCAAACGTCACGCTCGCAGGGAACACGACCTGTGGAACCCCGCGGTCCGACGCCTTCCACATCTTCCGCGACGCCACCCATGGAGACTATCCCTGGCCTGGTGTAGTGTTGGGCATCCCCATCCTCTCTGCCTGGTACTTCTGCACTGACCAGGTGCTGAGTGCGAGATTCTGTTGAACACGTCAAAATGCCAATGCAAGATTTCTTACCCACACCGGTAAACGTGACATAAGCACTCCGATCTTCAGAGCCCTCCACTGGCTCTTTTGCCCTAATTGCCTTCATGATCATCCTGGACATGCCCCTGCCCTTCTTTTCCCTCTCATCTCACCCCACTCCACTTTACGTGTTCACCACTCCCGCAACAGAGGTGTTCTGTCGGAGGATCTTCACTTTGCGTTGCTTCTTCTCCTCCCTGCCACGGGACATCCAAGCTGTCCATTCCTTGCCCCTCTTCCAAGTCCAAGTTCATGATCATGACTGTCTCCACTGTTAAACAGTAAATCAGAATCTCCTTTTTCCCCGATGATGAACGTATCACTATTTTGTGCATTGCCTTAATATGTGTTTTTATATATAAATGCTATATACATCCAAATTGTATTGGAATATACATTCTGTCCAGTCAAAAAGATAATTGAAGGATTTTATACAAATTGAAGGGAGGATATGAATTGTGCTTTGTACAGAAAATTACCTGAAATTATTATTAAGTCCTCCGCATTTCTTCTATACACACAGTGATTCAGGGCATCAATTGCGCAAACAAGGGCTGTCATTAAGAGTTTGTCACCTTGTGATTTGTCGTGGAGAAAGAGCAACGACTGTGACATCGGACGATGTGTTTTAAGGGCAAGTTGCCTTCGAATATTCCACAACGAGTCCACGTTACAATGTGCTTTGCACAGATAATGCAGTGCGTAACATCACTTTGAAATGAGCTAAAGATCACTTTGTAAGGAGTTGTTTTTTAAGATATTGAGAACGTGAAAGCACATGCGATGACGCAACTGAGAGACACTCCAGTCGAAAATGTCTAGGTCTGCTTTCAGAAGCCATGTGATCTCTGGCAGGAATGTATTAGGGCTGGGTAAGGACGCTATTATAACTTCCTCGAATGCTTAACTGGACCTCCTTGTGTACCAGATAAAGTACATTGACCAGTTCATCATCAACAACTATTCTCTATCCACTGCTGGATGAAGGCCTCTGAATGTGATTGCCATCCCTCATGGTTATGCGATTCCATACTCATCTTACGACAGCACATGAACGGGTCTAATCTCTCCGTCTCCAGATTGGTTATCTTCTCTGGTATAGTATGTGGTTTGGCTGCAGTCAGCCTTGTAAAGCTCTGAACCCTGTTTTTTTGTGGGTCTCCAGGTTCTGGTGCAGAGGTCAATTTCAGCCAAGAACCTCACGCACGCCAAAGGCGGGTCGGTGCTGGCGGCCTACTGCAAGTTCCTGCCTCTCTTCCTCCTCATCTTGCCAGGAATGATCAGCCGTGTGCTTTTCACAGGTGCCACTGCAGTCTTTATACGAGTTGATGAAGTGTTGTTTACTTTATATATCCATTCTATAAAATATCCAGACAGACAAAAGCTGAGGTGGCATTAATTCCTTTCGATTTAAAGCTTTCGTGACTGCAGGGATTCATCTTCTTGGTTATTTCAGTAAAGTCACGTAGAAGGGAAGTAATAAAATAATAAAATGATAAAATAATAAAAATAAAACATAATAAAAATATTTTATTATGTTTTATTTTTATTATTTTATTACTTCCCTTCTACGTGACTTTACCGAAAGAACCAAGAAGATGAATTCCTTTATTATTATAGAGGTATTGATGTAGTGAAAAAAGTCAAACATCTCCCTGCTTCAACAATGGGTGGTGGTCATCTTCATTCGCAGCCTTAAGGCAGTAATGGAAATTCCACATTACTATGGCAGGCATTGGACCATCACTGTTAACTTCCAATAAAGTGGCACTTATATTATTGACTCCACAAAGAGGAGTTTGCCTTTGAACTAGGATATGAACTCACGTTTTTCTCATTGTGAGGTGACCACTCTAGCCATAGCACCACCCAACTAAATATGGAATGACATAAATGGATCACAATGAGTGGGTATCATGGTTGCGAAGCGTGCTTCTTCATGAACCTGGGCTCGGAATTTGACTCCAGTCTATAGTCTATTTCCTTATTTGGAACCTTGCTAACGTGTGTGGTCAAAGATGATCGCGCTCAGGATGGTCTGGTAACAATACAGCTCTTTCATAATAATGAAAACGGGAACAACCACAAAACACAGGTTACTGCAACCCATGCCAGAGCTCCGCCATCACTGTCTAAAATGGAGGGAAGAAAATGGTTCCGCCCCTTTTACCATGACGACAAAATGTAAGTTGTCTACACACCCATGAAAGACATCAATGGCGAGTTATATATATATTAAAAGACCCACAACACAATACCCCCATTTTGCTAACCTACTCTGCCCAGAGTGGCAAAGTATAGTCATTCATTCTAGATTTGAAGCTTTCGTGACTGCAAGGATTCATACTCTTAGTTCTTTCGGTAAAGTCACGTAGGTTAAAAATGAAATTAAAATTAATAAAAATAAAACGATAAAAATCACGACGTTTCGGAGGCAACACAAGTCTCCGTCATCAGGTGGGACCGTCACAGCCAGAATTACTGCATCAAGTGTTTTATTTTTATTAATTTTAATTTCATTTTTTACCTACGTGACTTTACCGAAAGAACTAAGAGTATAAAGTATAGTCACACAGCCCCTGTGGCTGACACAGCGTGAGAGTCTTTCATCCAGCAATAGTTTAACAATAGGCAATTATTTGCTTTAGGTGGCATGCATATGCACACCATACTGTACATCAAAATTAACTCATTACTCCAATTAATTATTCTCAGCCTCGTGTGCATTATTTGGACCAGTTTACAAAAACCATAACATATATATGGCATGCACATTTCTATTATTTAGCTACATAACAGAAGTGCAATATGCATCTATTTGTTACCTAATTGGTTTCTATTAAACTGCATTAACATAGCTGAGGCCATGGAATCCATTAGTGGCCTCATAACATATTCATATATTTTCTAACACATACACCGTTGAAAGCAATAGCTGCAAGAGGGAACTGACAATATATACATATGTAGTGGGTTCTACAGAGGCACACACTTGACTTGGAGGCAACGCGTTTATTATAACACCCCAACAGGGTTTCTACATAAACGTACATAGTTACCCAATAGGGTAACGATATAAACGGATCAGGTCAGCAACACACTGCCTGATCCACGATGCCGAGCGTAACGACCGAAGACTGAAGAGACATAGCACCGAGGGTTCAATTCCAGCAGACAGCCGCGATTGCTCTCGGGACCTCCCTTTAATGCTCCCGAGCGTGGCCTCACTCCGCCTTCGGCCGGCCATGCCCCATTCTGGATTTCACCAGAAGGTTCTCGACCAAGCATCACATGAACTTGAAGCCACCCTTTGGGCCCCCTCGCTACCCTGTCCCTGTCACGTGCCCTCTGGGGTTCACCCAGACTGTCACGTCCTTACTTGCCCTCTCTCTGACCGTCACCAGAACCATGTCCCCTAGGGCCCGCTTCCATGCCATACCTACTCTGGTGCCAGAGAGAGGCTCAAGACGTACAGTTCCACTCTTGTGACAGTAGCTGGCGCTAAACGCTATAGTGACTCCTTTTAAGTCACTACACATATATGGCCAGGTTGTGTTGCAGTTAGAGCTCTCAACTGCCATTGATAACCAACTCAGCCCACTATCCCTCCAGAGTTGTTAACATGAATACCACTCTGTGATATGTCAATAGTGATTATCCGATGGAGGTCCTTGCTGCTGCTGTAGAACTGTGCCATCTTAATTACTGGCTCAGGTCTCAATGGGGATGTGCATTCCTCCACTTTAGTTTGAGTCAGGTGCTACTGATCCTAGAAAGCCACAAATACAAAACTATAAAATTCTCCCGTTTAGTCGTGTTGCCTATGGAGACAAGTGTGGCTAGCGTGTATTAAGGCCAGCATGGTAAAAGAGTGGGTGGTGTGGCCAGCACCTAACAAGGTACTTAATTTAAAATGTAGGCTTTTGCGACCAATATTATTCATTAAAGGTTTTTGGGTTAGATCGCGTTATTTATAAATGTGTCGCAACCCTCCACCACCCGACACGGCCAATCAGTAAAAAATGTGTCACGTTCACAAAAGACAAATAGTTCACTACTTTAGCCCAACGGTGTGTTGAAGAGTGAATCCACAACATTTACAAAAATGTTAAATGTTGTGGATTCACACTATAAATAACGCGATCTAACCCAAAAACCTTTATTATGAAGGTACTTATTGTAGTCCAAATCAATTTACAAGACATCCAGGACAAATGAAGATATAACTTGCGAATGGTGTGTATGGCCACGTAGCCACGTGAAGATTCTGAGATCATAGTGCATTGAGTGAACGCTGTGTCGTTATTACTCCCCACAGGTTTACACTTAAATAAATAAAAAATCATGAACATCATCAGTCATGATGTATTTACTGCTGGATATATTTATCTTTGCAATTTTCCATTTTAGCTCCTGCAGCGCACCAACTGAAACCATTGTTCCATCTTAACGATTTCAATAATCTTCGACGTGAACTACCCTTGAGCTGCCACTAGGTTATAAGTCTCAACCACGGGCTATTAAAGCATGAAGAGGCACACCGAAAAACAAAGAGGAAGGCAATGACCAAAGTATGTACACAAGTTAAATACTATGACGTTAACTGTTAAGAAGCGTAATACGTGGGAATGGACAGGGCATCTCGCTGGATGGGTTGATCGCCGATAGTATAAACTCAACTTTAGATTTTACCAAGTAAGGTCCACTGAGCTATATCGTTTATTTAGAAGTGACCTGGTCACAAATGATAGCTCAACGAAGTGGTTTATCATATGGAAATTCCTCGCAGCCAAATACTATAAATGCATGTTTCGAAATATGGAGGGAAACCCCAAAGGACCCAGAGAAAATACCTGCAACCACAGGGAGAACATGCAAACTCCAAATATACAGGCGTCGGGATTGGGATCGAACCCATGACCTCCTGTTTACCCGGTGAGATAGTTAACATATCTCCACCGTGGCACCCCTAAAATATGCCTCGTGTTACTTTATTCATGCAATCTCAATGTAGCCATTTCATATTTTTTCACATTACATCTAAAAATACATATATATTATTTCGGCCATGGTTTGCAAAAGCTTGGATGATCGCATCAATTTTCGCTGAGTCAAATGCCTTTTGATAAGTCTACAAAGGCTAGGCATAATGGCATTTTATATTCATCAATCTTCACCAGAATCTGATTGATAGCACGCGTGTGGCCAATGTTAGAGCTATCTGCTGCAGGGTGCATATCATTTGGATGATCATCCGCTTTTATGATATGAATATATATAGATTTTTTTTAATGTAATAAGATATCATAATATGAATCAACACGACATTTACGTTTACTTGTGCAGTTTTATATCAATTAATAAAAAATACATTTTCAAAATGTTAATATAACCACTTTAATACGTGCATATTTGAAGCAAAAAGATCGTACAGATGCACGTGTAACAGAATCAGTAGACACAAATGAACGGACATATTAACCATCTCAGATGTTATTCTATTATATGAATTAAATTCCCACTGGTGTATGAGCGTCGCACCATGAGATGGATAAGTATCCGTGTCTAAGTCTCACAGTGAGCATTGTTCCTCTCTTTGAAACACGACATCACATAACTACTTGTGAAGGAAATAGACTTCTTATTGACACCATGCAGTACCCACTTTCATATGCCCTGCCAAACCTGTTCCTCCTCATGACAAACCAAAAACGATTCGTCCTCAGAGCTGAAATGTGGTTAATTAACTGACACACTGACTGTAATGGGATGAGTCATTGGTGACTGGACCGAGATCAACTTGATTCTTCTGACAACCCAGTTCAATCATAGGTGGCTGACACCTGGATGAGAACTCAGGTTCTCAGAGATGTTGGCTTAGCACCGTGAAATTTCCCCCCACATTGGCTTGTAAATGCACACGCATAAAAATATCTCTAGCAAAAACTGGATAATATAAGCCAAGCAATAACGTTTTTTTCTTCTTTATATTTTGTCCGGTGAAAAGGAATTTCAAAAAGTACACTCTTTATTCAACAATTTTTTCATGGAAACATGTTATTAGAAGCAGCTTCTATTCTCTTTGTCCATCCATGGAGGTCTGGAATAGATTTTTTAAGTGACCGAAATGTCAAGCAATTGCGAGGGGCCACCTGCCACGCAATCTGGTTCATTCTTTGACATCCTCGTGGTGTTCTGTTTATTTTTATCAACACGTCCATCAATAATAGGCCAACAATGAAAATAAAGAAATAACTAAATGCGTATATTAAAATACAACGGATGATGTTTCAGACAATGGCCCTTCTTCTTTGTAGCAAAGAGATGCATAATGTTTCATAGCAATGGTGGCTGTTCCTTTCAGTAACCCGGATAAAGGCAACTGCTGCTCTGCACTATTCCTCGACTTGTCAAAAGCCTTTGATACTGTTGACCATGATGTTCTACTCACAAGACTTGGTCAACTAACAATTTCATACTGTACAATAAAATGGTTTAAGAGCCACTTCTCAAACCGTTCTCAAATGGTATACAGTGATAACATCTCGTCCATAAATATTCAAATAACAGGGTGTTCCACAAGGTTCCATGCTGGGTCCAGTTCTGACCTCATTTTTTTTAAACAATCTTGGATTAAACTTAAATCATTCAGAATGAAATATCTTTTCCAATGACACTGTCATGCTAGTATCAGGTAAATCTCACAAAGAAGATAAACGTAATCTCCAAACACGATTTTGATTTAATTCAACATCAATTGTCACGACTAAAATTGCTACTAAATAAAAAAAATGAGATCATGGTCTTTTCCTCAAACAAAAATCCAGTTTCATTCTCTTCACCTTATTACTGATATCAAAAACAACATGATTGAACAAACGGAGTGCTTCACACACGTGGGTTTACTAATTGATCATAAACGTACATTCCAACCCCATATTGATCACATCTCGAGGAAAATTACAAAGAAAATAGGATTTTTATATAGAATAAAATATTGTTTTCCCATTCAATTATGCCTGCAAATTGTCGAAGCTATCATTCATTCTACCACTGTTTGACTATGGTAATGCTGCTAACAGATGAGCTCCAAATGAATCACTAAACAAACTAAACCCACTTTATAATTCTGCTCTTCGATTTGCACTGGATGCACCATACACGTCCCACCATTGTGACCTCTACTTAAAATCCAAGCTCTCATCACTTGGTGCAAGAAGAAATCTACATTGGGCCCTGTTCATCCATAAAATCCTTTTTGGTAAATCTCCGCTATACTGAGCTAATTCATTAACCCCATTGTCAAATCCAAGAAACCTAAGACATCCATCTAATTGCCTTTTCTCTATCCCAAGAACAATAATTGGAATAGGTAACAAAGCCTTTGCCATTGCAGCACTAACGTTTTGGAACAACCTTGTTTCCTCCCTTAACATCATACATCTTCCTTCAAAAATATTTGAAGCAGAAGATTAGTGCCGAATACAGCCGCATTCGCAAATGTGATTTGTAAATATAATCCTGAACAATATATTGAGAGTTACATTTTAATGTACAATTTTTATTGTCGGACTGTGTGTGTTGTCTTGCCTTTCCGAAGCTTTGGAATTAGTGATGCAATTTGAACGTATATATGTTATGTCTTTTATTTAAGGGACGCCATGGTGGTGAGATGTTATCTTCATCTTCCTCGCCTGGCATGCAGGAGTTCGAGGGTTCAATCCCGATCCCGACCCTGATGCCTGCATGTTTACATGTTCTCCCCTTGGTCATGTGGATTTTCTTAATCCCGGGTCTTCCGGTTTTTCCCTCCACATTTAGAAAACCGCATGGAGATTAATGAGATTATTTCGGACCTATAAATGTCCAAATCATGGGCCGTTTCTGAAAAATAAGTTAATACCTCAGTGGGCTTTGCCTGGTGGAATGGGGATGGTTTAGTTTTATTTGTATGTTCTATGTTGGTTTGTTTACCTTTTTTGTACTTTGCAATACTATAATGTTGTTGTGCTGTGTGTTGTTGTAACGTTCTTACCCGCACCTACTGGACATCCGTGGAAAATAATTTTACAGCTCATAGGATTCCTCCAGTATAAATAAATATTCTGATTCTGATTTATAGTTTTAAATAACATTTCAATGCAGTATTATTTGTGATTATGCACCACTGCCAAGGTAGTCTCGCAAAAAAGCGTTTTTTTTTTCATTCAGTACAAATTAAGAGACCTCTGCAGCGGTTTAATAGCTCAGGTGGCTCATAATGGCCGTGTAATATTACCTCGCTGTAACTGTTGAGATCTTCGGTTTAAAGGTGGAGTTGTTTCGTTTGGAGCTGGATTATTTGTTTAATTTTCTGTTACAACGATTGATCCTATTTTGACTATTACTTATATATTGTATTTAAGTTACGTTTAACTATAGTTTAACTCATTGGGCCTATGAGCAGCAGTATACCTCAATATTCTCTGCTGCTATACAAGACCCATGTCGGTATCTCTTACTCCTACAGCTTATCCATCAGCCACTTCAGCCTACCTAATCCTACCATATCTCAACACACACTAGTCTAACCACCCATTCACATCCCTTTCCTACCTACATAGCCCGACCCTACCCCTATACACACCAACCTTACCCCGAGTGTTGTTGATGATGAGCTACACCAACCCTATGACATTTGACCTTAGTAAAAAAAGATATTGAATTTTCACCATGCTAATCTTATGTGGTTCAAGAAAAATCTAAACACTCTTTCACGTTCCTCAGTTGTGCTGAGTTGAGAGTTAGGAGCAGTTTCTCTAATATAAAGAAAACACTAATTCGGGTAATGTGTCAGAGACAAATTGAGTCTACATGAGAGGTGGGCCTTCCTGGCATTGCACAGTCACTTTCGAGTTAAACAATGATGCATTACAGATGACATCGATTTGAACTCGCGATTTTCTGATTCCCAGTTGAGATCTCGACGCGGTTTACCACACGGTCAGACACAATTAGTTGTTGAAACAAACCCATTGTTCGGAGCGGTAGATTTATCACGGCATTACAGCGTCTCGTCCGCGTGTGCCGACGTGCAGAGGAGGTGGCGTGCGCGACGCGGGAGACCTGCCTGGAGGCCTGTGGGAACCCTGCCGGCTGCACCAACATTGCCTATCCCAAGCTGGTGGTGGAGCTCATGCCTCCAGGTATGTATGTGTTGAAAATTGTGCGTTGAACTATATTTCTCACCGTACATAGCCAACCGTGCTAATCGGAGGTGCGGGGGAAGGACAACAAACTAAACAAAAAACTGTTCTAAAACAATTATTTTTTTCAATATAAATTATTTCAAAGTGCATATCTCCAGTGGCTTCTTAATATCGGAAGGAAGAGTGTTCCAGACGGCCGCAGATGCGCGTCTGAAGGCACGTGATGCGGTAGCCACTGTCTTTGTTCGATGGCCAGCCAAAAGCCGCGGCGAGGATGACCGGAGTTCATCTGATGGTTTAAGCTCCTTGACGAGATCAGCAAGGTATTGTGGTTAATTTGTGGCAAGCACTTTGTGTGTAATGAGTACGTCCATATGTATTCGTTCGGCAACCGGAAGCCAATGCAGCTCCGCGAGCACTGGATGTACATGGCAGGTAAGTCACCCAGTCTGAATCCAAGGCTGCTTCTGCTATTTAAAAACAATTATAGTTGTATTCATTACAGTTTTTCATCATCACCATCATCATCACCATCATTCTCATGATCTTCCAATGGAATGCCACTCACTTGGAGATCCTTTGACTATCACTACAACGTTATCGTCAACAACCATGATTAATCCGCAGCTGGATACCATTGAGATATCAGTACAGATCACCTGCTGTCCGAAACAAGGACAAAGAAAATTTCAGCTGAAATAAGTGTGAAAAGTTATTTGATTATAGGTGCACATTCTTTAGATTTATGTGCCGACAAATATATTGTCCTGTGAATTTCAGAACAGGGTAAGTGTTTAACGTTCGAATCAATATGGACTGCTCGTGTACATATACGTGTTGTGGAAAACCCACGGCAAATAGGGGCCTCATAAGCAAACCACACTTACACTATTGTAATGCGGGCGTAAACGGCCCTCCGGAGGTGACGTCAGGAGGGGAGGAGTTAGGTCACGTGGGGGGGGTGAGGGGTTAGGCTATAGAAGGAGGGGAACCGGAAGAGGAGAGGGAGTGACGGGGAACCAGGAACAGAGAGAGGCCACGAAGGGCGAAGCGGAGGGTGGCGAGATCGCCACGAACACGGGGGAGCGAGGATCGGCACCGTTGGCCAGCGGTGACCGACCCGAAGCAGCGGGGCTGCATACAGAGTCAGCAGCGGGTCTGCATACGGTAGCAGCCAGGAGGGTCTGCATATAGGGGTAGCAGCGGGAGTCTGCATAGGGGTAGCAGCGAGTCTGCAGGGAGAGAACGGAGGTTACGGTAGATGAAGCAGAGAGTCTGCGGGAAGAGAAGGGAAGCTATAATAGCAGTCAACAGCCGGGGGCTACAAATACAGAGTTATAACAGAGTGCCGTGTGGGAGAAGACAAGAACCCAATAAAGGACACGAAGACAGAAAGAAGTGTCTGAGTCCTTTTATTACACTATTTCTATAAAGAAACACATAGAGGGATCCCCATTTATATTGTACCACTTTAGGTAAGCATTTTTTATAATTATTTAAAAAATCGTCACTGAGTCTCAAGACTCTTTTTTCAGCAGGATCCTTCAAAGTTTTCACGGTGGCGAGGGGCAACCTTGTTATGTGTATTCCCAAAATGACCAGCATTTTCCAGCATTGGGATATTTGGCCAATACGGGTTAAACTGTGGGGGGGGGGGGGTTTAGCTAGTAGGTTACAATATAGCATGAAACCATTGTGGAGATTATTTTGGGTATGGGGGCGGATTCAAGACAGAGGGGGCAGGTTACCAAGACGTACATTGGAGTCGCACCCAGTGCTTGATAACTGTGGGGAAGACCTACAGCAACACGACGACGATAAGATTGTAAAATCTGATGCTGCAGGGACTGACAGCAGAAAGGAAGGAAGGAAGCAAGCAAGCAACGGCGAGGTGTGGTGTTATCAATGGGCCATGATGGCCTCTTGATATGGACCATGAGCTCAAAATAAGGCGACATGACCGAAAGTCGGACAGCCTGTCGCTTATTAAGCCGGTGCTTAGGGCGAATTCTTGGTTCGTATCTCATTAGCCCCATTCCATGCACTGCCCTCGGCGGCAAAGCTGCGCCAGATTGGTCACAACACAGCGGTCATGGCTCTATGACTGTGCAGTGTCAAACACCGGATGTCATGATATTAATGCCTTCTGCCTTAGCCTTGATAATGACAGAGGTGAAGTCATTTGTCATTCTGTCGAGGAGCGCCGCTTGAGAGTCATGGAATAAAGAAAATTATAATACCAACGACACTGTTCTGGACTTCAGCCATGATACATTTCACTATCACCTTGAATCCCATTCAGTGTGGAATGTGGTAACACACTATAAAGAAGATAAAGTGTTTCGCTGTGTGTGCTTTCTGTGAAAGTGCACGTGGGGAACGCAAGTGTCGTGGTTAGCGCGCCGCGCTAAGAATTCTGCTCACTTTCTGCTCACTTTCAACACCAGTGAGAATTATCTGAACCGGTCCTGGACGTCCCCTAGGTTGACTCAGTCTCAAATGAGTACCTGGTGCGGTGTGTAAACATCGGGAGAGAAAAACGGCCGAGCGTGGTGTTGGCCATCCACCTCCTCGTGTGCCGTGCCGGCCTTTATCGGTGCTCGCTAACAGCACTTTCCCCAACAGCATGTGAGAGGCTATACGGGGATCTTTTTTTTCGTGTGCACGTGCAAGCTGTACGCTTTATTGCGTGTGCATGTGTACGTATTTGTGTTCCTGTACCCTTTAGCGCAGTTGTACAGAAGAGCAGTAGTGGCTGGTGCACTCATAATTTCAGCCACCTGGGTTTGATTCCTGGACATGATGACAACGGTGACAAGTCCTATCTGAACCTGTCCGAGGACTTCCATAGGTCAATTCAGCCTTGAACGAGTTGCTGGTGTGCTTTGTAAACATCAACACCAGGGAGACATGTGGCAGGGAGAGTTGCTAATCATGTCACCACCCACTCGTGTTATGCTTGGCTTAACAGATGCTCGCTCAGAGCAATTGCCCCAACAACAGCATGGCTACAAAAAGCGCCCTTTATCTTTGATGTGTGAGTATGTGTGCATGCATGGATGTCTACATCGTATAGATCAAACTGCGGTCATCCTCACAGCGGCTTTTGGCGAACCATCAAACACAGACGGTCACCCCACCGCGCGCTTTCAGATGTGCCTCTGCGGCCGTCTGGAACGCTCTTCATTCCGATATTAGGAAGCCACTGGAGCCATGCACTTTTAAATCTAGATTGAAAACTTATTTCTCCGATGAGCGCGGTTGTCTACGTACGGTGTGAAAGAAGTTCAACATACACACGTACTTGTGCACACACACACACGGTAGTGTAGCGGGTAGCGCGCTGCACTACGAACCTGGCGACCCGGGTTCGATTTCCGCTCACGGCCAACACCGGTGACGATTATCTGAACCGGTCCTGGGCCTCCCCTAGGTCGACGCAGCCTCAAATGATTACCTGATGCGATCTGTGAACATCGCCACGAGAGAAACAAAGGCGGCCGGGCGTGGTGCTGGCCACCCACCCCCTCGTGTGCTGTGCCAGCCTTCATAGGTACTGCTCGCTAACAGCGCTTGTTCTAACAGTCTGTTACGTGCCACGGGTGGGAAAGGTTGTCTTGTGCACTTGTGCAACGTCTTTGCTTGCAGGGCTGAAGGGTGTCATGCTCGCGGCTATGATGGCTGCCTTAATGAGCTCGCTGACGTCCGTCTTCAACAGCAGCAGCACCATCTTCACCATGGACTTGTGGGCTCGCCTACGGCCCCGCGCGAGCGAGCGAGAGCTCATGATCGTCGGCAGGTCCTGACCGCAGTCCTCACTCGCACACACGTCGGGCTGGAGCTAAATAAGATGGTGCCATTCTAGATTTGAAGTTTAACGTGACTGCAGGGATCCATACTCTTTGGTTGTTTCGGTAAAGTCACGTAGGTATAAATAAAATAAATTAAATCACGACGTTTCGATTGCAACACAAGCAATCATCATCAGGTGGGAAAACCACAGCAAGAACATGTTTTTCTTTCGCTGTAGTGGGAGAAAGAGTTGCCGTGGTAATAGGTAAGAGGAGATGGTGCCAACAATAAGACTCTGCAATGATGTGGCCCAGCAGTGGCACGTTTGCTGCAGGTTGCACGGGTTCATGGTTTGATCCCGGCAGTCACCCTGGTCAATACTGCAGATGTATTGACCTTATATGTATATGTGTTATCTGCTTCACAGTGACGATTAAAATATCCCATTAATTAATGTGAAAAAATAAAAGTGCTTGTGTGCAGGCATCATGGTCCAAATATGATAAATTACTCGTAGTTATGTAATTAGGAAGCCAGAGAGCAACATCTCCTCCTACTGACAGACGAATGCGCAGTTGCTGGCTGGTGCTGCTTTCACCTTGTGACTGCACAGGGACAGCTGCCACTGGGGGTCACCTGCTGCAGGGCGCCTCGAAGCAGGTTCAATGATGATGATGATGATGAAACTAGCCGGCCATTCCATGTTGTAGTTAAACACATGACTAATAATCGGAGAGTCACTGGATTTTAATCCCAATAATCTTACCTCTGGGGGTCACATCATAGAGGTGCGGAATTTACACCACTGTCTGAGACCTCCAGTGGCAACGAGTCCTGAGGTCCGTGCTTGTTTCATCGTGAACATTTTTTTGTTATTGTTGTTTATGTTCGTATTTTATATTTCTCATTTTATATGGCCTTTGTCCTCATGGATCTTAAAGCACCCTGTCTAATGACAGTATTCAAGGGCATTGTCTGTGGTGGCGTCTTGATCTTTACTGTGACTAGATTGTTGCCATCCATAACACACACATATTAATGAATAATTAACAATAATAGTAATTTATGGTCCCATGCTGTGACAGTTATGGAGGTTATTTTAGCATAATTGGTCAGTGTGGGTTGGTGAAGGAGGGGTTTTGTCAGGAACAGTTCAGATGCCACTCATCACAGATGTTCGTCTTGGTAATCGAACTCAGGTCGTGGGATTCACAGCACAATTCGCTTACCACCTCACCAGAGCTGACCATCCACCTGTTTACTGACTTACATGCGTATGTACAATATACGTTAAAGTACACAGTAATATACTCAAGTACAATATGCTAAGTTGCACTTCCATAGGAATTCCATAATCCAAGGTCCACAAGAGACGCTGCCATGGGGTAATGGTTAGTACACAGGTTCGATTCCCTCGTGCCACAGTTGAAGAAATAAGTACTTTAAAAAGCCCTCCCCAACACTGTCCACCAGCAGTATAAATAGGTACCACCAGGTTAGTTGATCGGCCGGTCGTGTTCGGTGGGGTAAAGTGTGGGTAATCCCACCTAATCCAAAACGTCAGGCAAGTGTGGAAGAATAGGCTAAAATACCATTTGGGGGCACACCAAGAACTTCCTCCAGCGGAGGCCTTTTCCGCTCGTAGCAGGATTGAGCAAGTAATTGCAGGGCTGCACCTTTTCTGCCTTCACCTTTTATAGGACCTTTAGCTACTACAATAAATTGTGAATAATACAAGATGCTCTCAGCTCATTATAGGTCACGTTCTGATGATGCCAATTGGATCATTTGAAAGAGCTATTAGTTATGTACATATTTGTATAAGTTTAGGAGTAGGATTAAAATATGAAAACTTTGCCACCCATGTAGGGAAAATATATGATCATCCGTAGTAATTTCATGCATTGGAGCGTGTGCGCCATTGCACACATGGACTGTGAATTAGCACTGGAGCAGAGGTAAAAAAAAATCTATTTCCAAATCAGCTCTGCACTTTCTCTAAAGTGCCAAAAGTTTTCAGTAGGCCGATCCATCCCAAGGGATGTTGACAGGGTCAACCAAAAATAACTTCAAAGGTTTTTCTTTACAAAGTTACAAAGTGCAGCGGACTTGTCCTTTTCATCTGCAGCCACTCTGCCTGCTCGCCAAAAGCCAGCCCATTAAAGGGGACATTTAATATCAAAGCTAATTGCGTTTTCTGAAAGATTTTTTTTTGCACATATATGTACACACAGAGAATTAATGACCTAGGTGATGCTTATAAACCAGTGTTTCTCAAAGTGTTTTGGCCTGCGCACCATTCAGCCGATGCAAACATTTTTGTGGACCATCCAGCCTCCAACTCCTGGTGACAAAACGCATGCACTTATCTCTCTAAATACCACTCACACTAAATGATTCATGTTAATGGAACATATATCATAAGTAAAATATGAATGAAAATGTCATTATTTCCAGATCAACCTGAAGTTGATTCACAACTCCACGGTCCACCATGAGGATCATCACAGACCACCAGTGGTCCACACTTTGAGAAGCACTGGTTGTAGACAGTTAAGGGCCATACTAAATTATCAACTAAAAATGAGCCAGTTAAATTTGGTCAAACATTTAATTAACTCACCCCTAATGTGATGGCTGGAACTGCTTCTCTTTGGTGAGGCGTGTGATGTTAGCTGGTATTGATGATGTTGTTACTCGCAACTGCTTTTCCAGGTTTGCTCCTAGATTTATTGAATTTCGAGTCCCGCCTGCGATTGCCTTGGCAGGGCCAGACCAAATGATTTCGCGGGCCTTATACGGCCCGCCGGCCGGACGTTCTCCATCTCTGATTTAAAGGATAATGATTATCTTACGTTGGGTAATTTTTCCGCTTTTGTTTACATAGAAAAACATATTCTGTGATCAAATCACCATGATTAACCACCCTGAATGTGCCTGATCTTACTGTATTGAGAAGCTAAACAGGGTATATATGCCTGGCTAGAGCTTGAATGTGCGATGATGAGAGATTGCCAGGTGTTGTGGGCATGATTTCCTCCAAAAAATAAAATTATGAATGTATAAACAAGTAAAGGTGAACATATTTATAGAATTGGCCAAACATCCTCGTGCAGGACTGTCCTGAAAATGTATCTTGAGTTTGAGTGAGGCTTTCCTAGGGTGAATAATTTGCATGATTCTTATTTTCTTTAAAAACAATGAAAGACTAGTTGCTTAAATATTTCGAAAGTTTAATTTCGCTGCTTTCAGTGTAGTGACATCGCGGATGTCACTGTATGGTTCCGGCCCTAGAGGGGCACGGCGTGCGATGTACTCACATCGCGGACATCATGTATGTAGCGAAATCGTGTATGTCACTGTGCAATGCCGGCTCTAGCGATGCACGGCGTGCGATGTATTATTATCGCGGACACCCCATAGGTGGGTGTAGTACCAGCCCTAGAGGGGGCTCGATGAGCGCTGGGATAGCGCTCAGTGGCACCATGCGTGGCGTGTAGTGCTGACTCCTACAGTAAGGAGTGTGACAGTGTCAGCCATGGGATGAGGTTACCCTCGGCTATGACACTTTGGTTGACCCTGGGAGGCACGTGACCAGTAAGATCTACACAGAGACCCCAGGTGGGGGCTAGGGGATGGTCACTTATCAGGGTGAGATCCTACGGGAAAGGTCGAGAAACGACGAGAAGTTTCTCGAAGGTGGTCGTGGCCAAGGGTGGGGCCAGCCACGACCCGGGAGCATATAAACCGGGGTCCGCACATGGACTGGGGGTCAGCGTTGCTGCCGTCATCTGAAGATCTACGATGTAGGTTCTACGTCCAAGAAGAAGTCCTTAACACGTGGACGAGGACCCCAGCGAGGGTCCTGTCCGTTGTAGCAACTCCCAGTAACTAGCGTAGTTAGCCTGGTGGTCCACCACCATAGGTTATCTGGAAAAGGAGCAGTAACCCATTTGTGTTATGTTTTGGTATTCATAAATATGTGTTGCCTACAAGAAGTATGTTTGCGACTCAGTTAAATCCACTACAAATGTATAAAAGGAAAATTATACCCAAACATGCAGTCAGGAATGCTATGTGCAAAACAAATTCAGAAACGTTTCAAATCCTTGAAATCCTTTCAGCTCATGCTGAGCTCTGTTATGAGAGATGAGACTGAGAAATGTTTCGTTAATGTATTTAAGAAAGGAGAGTGCTCCATTGGCCTATAAAGGTGTCTGCATCTTTTACAAGTTAAATCCCGCGACCAGATTTGTCTGAGAACCGAGCAGAATTGACCCATGAAGTGGACAAGTGAGTGCTATAAAATGCTGCTGCGACTGCTTCCGCTGCTGCAGATGATGATGGTGATACTGTCACAATAGGAGGCAGTCACCAGAAACAGTTTTGTTTTTATTGAATTAATTTGCAACACAATCACATACACTGATTTGAGACCCCCAACCACCCAAGCCAATATCGACATGGCTCGTGCTCCCAGTAGGAACCTCAGCTTCACAAAGCCCAACTCGACCCCTTGGGCCACGAATGTTCGTTTGAACAGGGAGACACTTTGACGTTTGACAAACAAAGCGGCGCTGTTCCTCCACCTCCCCGCAGGGTCTTTGTGTTGGTCTTGGTGGGGCTGAGCATCGCGTGGATCCCCGTGCTGCAAGCCTCACAGAGCGGGCAGCTTTTTGACTACATCCAGTCTGTGACAGGATACTTCGCTCCACCCATCCTCATGGTCTACCTGCTCTCCATCTTCTGGGAGGGATTCAATGAGCAGGTCTGTTACCACGGTTGCTGCGGTTTGTGGACTGTCAGTATGAATGAATTAATGCATGCATGCGTTGACTATGTCAGTAAGAAAGGGAAAAGGTTCATCCCTGCAATTGCTGGCTCACACCACTACCGGTAACAGGGTCTCCACGAAAGGGAGCTCTAGGGAGCCTCTCTAGAGGGATCTCTCTAGAGCTCCCTCTAAAGGGTTTATTTGGTCTACTTTTACAACACCATACACGACCTGCCGATCATCTGATTGCGGTGGACCCATTTATACCGGTAGGTGGACGGAGGTGGGGCTATTTAAGAAACTTGCTAATTGAACCAGCTACCTCTGGATTGCAAGTCCAGTGTGCTGTTTATCTATATATATAAAAGGGAAATGTGTTAATGTTTGTCTTTTCGAAATGTTTAGCATACTTTCCAACATGCAACAAACTTGAAATTTGGCATGTGAGTAGCTTCCAGAATGTACACAATGCAAAAAGTATAAAAAGAGACTTTTGTATTTTGGGGGTGGGGGGGGGCGCAATAATGGATATATTTTGCACGGCAAGTTAAAGGTGCGTCACATCTGTGATGTCACCCGCATGAGGCAGCGTCACGCGGTGTGCCTGCTGACGTCACCCCCCCCCCCCCCACCCTCCGCGTAGGCCGTGTATTAATCCAAGACAAGAATCCATTCTCGAGCGAAGCCGGGTAGTAAAGCTAGTATGTTGCACACTCGAGATGAAGGACGTGGGCAGGTGCTCCAAATCGAGGGCAAGCACATTTATTTATTGTGGTTCATATGAATCTTGGGAAGAACAGCACCGTCACTCTGTAAAATGCAACAGCGCGTGTTACACGCAGCAATCCTTCCGAGACGCCATTAACCGTGTGGCTGGTTTACACGTGCGGTTATTCATTAACCCTGCCAGCCACCTACAGGCCCGACTCAGACATTACATGCTGCTGTAGACACATGCATTGATGCATTGCACAGCACATCAGGACCTTCACAGAACCACACTGTACTCCCTTGCTGCACAAGGACACACTTAAAAGAGTGATCCATTCCTAATGTGCCACAAGTACATTATAAGTATTACATCGTTTCCTTGCACCCTGCCCATGGCGCAGCTACCATTCACCAGGCGTGTTCAACACGTATCGGATCGAATTGCGTACATATGGATAATACCGTTCATTCGGAAAGGCGAGTGTTGGTAGCCAGAACTGGCCCTAGACCTTTGGGGGCCCTAAGCAAAATTTGGTTGGAGGCCCCTTTGATGTATGATTTTTTTCACCCACTAACTAGCAGTGACTCTAGAGGGCCCTCTGCTGGCCACGGGGCCCTTTGCAATTGCAAGGGTCGCTTAGTGGCTGGGCCGGCTCTGGTGGTAGCGGCGCACGCCTGTAATCCAGCACTGTAGAGGCGAGGGTCGGTGGATCGCACAAGTGTTATTAAACTTCCTTCCCGTGTGCAGCAAGGTGCCATACCCTGGCCTGCCAGGACAAGGCAGTGCAGCAAGTGGACTTATCGCCATCTGTTTCCATCTGTACAGGGAAAGAGTGTTGCCCCTTGCACGCATGGGGTTTCTCCAGGCGTTCCGGTTTCCTCACATTTGTATAAATACATCGTAAAATAAAACAGTCAATGCGGGACTTAAATTTCAAAAAAAGTTTGGCAAGTCAGTGTGGCTCTCCTGGATAAATAAGAAGTAAAATGTAGTTGGGTGGAGATAATTGGAGTTTGAGACACACTGTATAAATGCTTCGCTACATTATACATTTCTGAATAAAACAAGTATTGATGTGTATGATAGCTCAGGTAGAATTCTCGCACAGAAGCACTTCATGATGGCATCAATGATGCCTTAAATGGTGCCGTGAATAACATCATCACGGAACGAACTGACACATCTTCACGTGTCGTAAAAAAAATGTGCACTAATCAAAAGTAAAACCAATCCTTGCAATGGAATACAGCCGCGAACTACGGCCATCGACGAGATGGAACGATAAAATCAGTTTATGTGCAGGTGTTACGTGGATTATTACATCGCAGGATCTTGCGACATGGTGGCGGCTTGGTGAGCCTTCATCCAAGCAGTGGAATCCTGTGGCCGATGATGATCATGAGAATGCATTCTGTCATAACAAACACATCAGTACAGATGGTGACCGAGGTATGGAAGTATAGACCTGCAGATGCATGTGCCCCTAGCTTATTAGAATCACTGAATTGATTATTGTGAGCGAGGGCCAATCAATTAAAGGTGCACAAACTTTGAGACCAGCAGGCCCAATTCGGAGGTAGCAATTGCATGCTCACTGCACAATTTCTCACGTTACAAAGTCAATGATAGCTTGTTTAGCTCATACATTCAGAGCGCGTGTCACCCTGCTACACCAATTTGGAGCACTAGACTGAATCCTGTTGCTCATTGATTTTGAACAACAGAGGGGAGACAGAAGGCGGAGGTGGAGTGGGTGGGTGGCAGCAGTTGGACGGACACCCTTTTGGTGGGGCACCGTCTTCATGTGTAGCCAGATTTGTTGGACCAGGGGTCGGGGGAACCTTTATGACTGGGAGAGCCATAAAAGCCAAATATTTCTAAATATATTTCATTGAGAGCCATATAGTATTTTTAACGTATAATAAATTAAATATGTCTTACTTTTAATGCGACTTCTGGTGCTATATGGTTTTGCTGATGGCCTTGTTGTCTGGTTCATACGTGGTGAGGTTGAGCTTCATGCAGGCGTGACCCGTGAAATTTATCTTCAAAACTAATTTCTGTTTACTTTAAAATGACACCGTAGTATGAAACAATATCACAAGTATTTTAAAATCAGTTCCAAACTGATTTTTTATTTTTTTATTATTATTTTTTTCAACTCAAAATTGTCTGGGAGCCATATGCCGTCACTGGAAGAGCCATATATGGCTCGCGAGCCATAGGTTCCCGACCACTGTGTTGGACCAAACAAGCAGTGGCGGTTAGAGGCTCGAATTGTGGTGGGGCCGTTGCAGTGCCAAAGTATCCAGCTATGGCTCTAAAGTTGAGCATGAGTGAGTGGTCAGTGGAACAGTTAAGACAGGTTCGTGCTCTTTGTGCAAACGTGTGTGCATGGTTGTCAGCATTTGGATTAGGCCGTCAAACTCTGTACTCGTAAAACATTTTTCAATCTCTAAATTTGAAGGGTGAAAGCAGGATTCTGGAGGGGCTGGCTCAATAGGTGATATTTCTGAAATGCAGCCACTGAGATTGAATGTATTGACCTAAGTTGTTTGCTGTAGATCCACCACTGTTCTGCTTTTTTTAGCGGAGGATAAATGGATCGTATGAGCAAAGTGGCAGCTAAGTCTACGACAACTTGAAACCATTCATCTCATTCACAATGCCCAAATACTGCTGAGGCTCCATTACATTTTAAGACGCGGTATTTATGAAAACACAAATGTGCTCTGTCATTATGAACTTGTATACATCATTAAATGTACCATTCGATAATTTGTAGTCATTTGATTCACTTCGACTGAAATAGGACGTTATGAAAAAGGACATTTTTCCAAAGCCTTTGCGTAATTTTTTATCTGATATATTTTTACAGATTAACTACATTACCAGATGGTATTTGTAATGTGTTTCTTTAAATGTTATGAGCATTATAGAGACATTATCAAAGATTTGAAATAATATGCTGTCCTTTGTCAATTGACTGCTGGATGAAGGCAATATCAATCATGCTGGTTGTTGAACCCTACTTCACTAAGCTGTGTGGGTTGCTTAAAGGGAGGTTAGGTGCAAGGCCATGTATGTATAATTTCTTTCACAGCTACCGTGCGAATCGGAGGTGCAGGAAAGACCAGTTCAGATATAATGTTAGCCGTGACAGGGAATTGAATTCATATTACAGGGTTCATAGTGCAATGTGCTAATCACGCTTCACTATATGAAGATCAAAATTAAACCGTGAGGAGTTTTTCAATGACAGATGAAACCAAAAAGGTGTTTGCTATGTGCACTACACATGCGTATATATACACACACGGGATTCATTGTAATTTGCAGTGTCAAAAGACCATAGACAATGCTGCCCACATTGGAAGACCTAATTAATCAGTGAATATAGCCTGACATAGATATATACACATTTGTGATTAAAGCATCCCTTTGCTAGAGATTCAACATTTGTACACTTTTATCGAAATATGCAATTCTGTAAAACCACTGAACAACAGTATTCATAGTTATGATTATTTTAGCAGACAGTACAGCAGAGGGGGTATGTGAGAATGCACATGTAACAACATTGTGTTCATCCATCTACCAAGTAACACATGATTAAATAGACATAACATGACCCATACTGTGATTGGATATTTTTTTATTTTAAAAAAAGGCACGCTTTACAATGGGTCACAAATTGTGCAGCGTCACAGCATTCACAGCTTGCACACGTGAAGCTGTTGCTTTCCCAGATGGCCATCGTGCGTCACAGTTTTTCTCTCGACAAACCATTATCGTACGGCCATATTTTACTTATATCTGCCCGTATGTCACCTGTACCACGTATGTAAGGGCCATGTGAGGACACCTCGGGTAAAATAATTAATGAAACAACTGTCACCTATTAATTGTTTTTCCTTTTAAGGCCACACACAGTGTCATTGACGAACGTGTTAAATCTTCTATTTTTGTGTCATTGCCATGTGGCAGGGCGCCTTCTGGGGTCTCATGGCTGGCTTTCTGACGGGCGTCATCCGCATGGGGCTTGACTTTGGCTACGGAACGCCGGCGTGTGGCGACCCGGATCCGCGGCCTCCTGTGCTGGCTCGCGTGCACTTCCTGCACTTCACGGTGCTGCTCTTCGTTCTCGTGGGCGCCGTGATGGTGGCCGTGTCGCTTGTTACCCGGCGATCGGCGGGAACGAAGAGGGACGTGAGTCACCCAGCGTGCGTTTCCACGCAATGCACACTTGCGTTTTGCCACCGCTGGGGTTCAAAAACATCTGGGCCACGTCGTGGGAATGTGAATATCTCGCAGCACTGGAAGCAGGGAGAACTACAAGTTAACGCATCGTCTCGAGTGGTGCATTGTTATGCAACTGACAAAAAGAGGACTTTTAAATGTCATAGGAAGACGACTTACAGATTTACCATGGCAGCTCTGTCAAAATGAGAATGATCATGTGACACCAGGACAGGTAGCAACTCTAATGCATGCACGTAAACGCATTTGCTTTAAGACGTTTGTTACACTATGGGAGCATGACAAATGTACATTTGTTTTTGTGCAGTGATGGTTCATAAAATAGTCCACATTATTAAAGCCGCACCTTCAGAATTAATCTGCACTCGAATGAGGTTTGAGGCGGCACTCTTCCCTTCTGGTGACCCTCGGTCAGTGTTGGTAGAAATTACACCTTTCCATGGCAGAGACCACTCTGTTCTCTGGGACAATGATTGTGGATGGCCCACAGAGTGGCACTCATTTTATAATAGGCTGAAGTGATCCATGATTTGGATTTGAAGCCTTAACCTTAGAATTGTGAGTGAACCACTCAAATCCACAACACCACTTGAATTGCAAGCCTGTAATCCAGAGCTTTAGGCGAGGTGTTGGTGGGGCACGCATACAGAACAATGTTTGTGCAATCCACCAAATATACACTCGCAGGGGCTTAGAGATGGCCAGTAGAAGTCAGTACACCAAGTATGCTATTAGAAATATAAATATGAATCCATCTGTTTCTCTACACTCTCATACAAATGTATATCATTTTTAATAATCACTCAATGTGCAAGGATTTCTGTAAAGTGTGCCTTGTGTTCGCAGCTGGCCGGTCTGACATGGTGGAGCCGATGGAATGTAGGTGCGGGCACCTCTGCGGACGCGTCTGGAAAGGACTCTCCCGGCCGTACGGATGGCGATGACAACCCCACATTCACGATGGACGTGAGTGGCTCGGCAGCTCACCTACAGGACAACGGCAAAGACCGGGAGACCCTCGGAGAGCAGGAGCTCGAACTGAGCATCCACTCAGATGCCGACACCGACAAAGGGAAGCAGAGCCGACCAGGTAATAATTATCACTATCATCATTGCCACTGTCATCATCAGATTTACATAAAAACCCTCTTAAACAGAATGCAAACCTCAAACATGTGTGGGGGTTTGTAATAACTTCTGTTGGTAGCACCTGAGCCAGAAGTGAATAATCCACATTCCCAGCCCATTAACAGATGTGTCCATGGAACAACCACTTTTGGATTTCCACTTATTATTTGATTGACCACAGGTTATTTTTACTGATGACGGTGGTAGTGGTGGCGATGATAATGGTGTTGGTGGTAGAAGCGGTGATGATGATGATGGAGGTATAGTGTAGTGGTTACCGAGATGCACTCCAAACCTTGCGACCTGAGTTCAATTCCCGCTCACGGCCAATATCAGTGACGATTATCTAAAACTGGTCCTAGGCTCTCCTCTAGGTCGAATGAGCACCTGGTGCGGTGTGTAAACATCACCACTGGGGTGTGGTGCTGGCCACCCACCCCCTCGAGTACCATGCAGGCCTTCCGAGGCGCTTGCTAACAGCACTTGCCCCAACAGTCTGTTAAGTCTACACGGGGGATCGTTTTCTTTGTTTGATGATGATGGTGTCTTACGTCGACTCCAAATCAGTTTTTTTTATTTACTTCTCAACTTTCTAAAAGTCGGTTGATTGCTCTGACCACACACAGTTTCACCCTGAGAGCTATTTGTATGTTCTCAGATGTGAAAAGTTGGATAGAGGTGGGAAAAATGTCATTTGAGTTTGTCACCACCACCATTGTCACCACTGTCACTGCCTCCACCACCTCCACCACCTCCACCACCACATCCACCATCATTACCACCAACACGAGCTTCACACCTTAATTTCCACAATAACCACCTTGACTACCACCACCACTTCCACTGCCGCACTATCATCAATAACAATAACCGCCATTCACCACTAAGTGACGGTGACGTCACCACGGCGACTGTGCCAGGCCAGGTGCACTTGGCACAGGCGCCGTGGTGACGTCACTATCACCACGACCACTTTCACCATCACCATTTTCACCGTAATCAGCACCGCTGACACCACTTTCACCACAAATACCACTACCTCTGGCACCATTGCGACTCCCCTATTCAGGGTGCTTAATGTCAGCCAGAACAGTCATGAGCCAGAACAGTCAGGAGTATTTGTGGATACCCCATCCATCTCGCCTTACTTTGTTTTCATGATACTCCAACTATATTTTATAAACTTGTTCATCGGATTTTAGGAATGTAGGATATAATAATATAGAATTATTATGGGTAGTCGTACAGTGCACTCTAGTTGTAGTACCTTACGCCGATAGTTCCTACTCCAAACCAGCCGAGCGGCGTTCCATAAAATATTGAGTGAGAAGTTAAGCCCTGCCTACAATAATCATCACTTCCACCACCATCACTACTCCCTCTCACCATTACCATAACTCCCCTGTATCCACCATCATCACCATCACTACCTATCTTCCCATTTACTCAATCACCAACACTACAAAACCACCCTACACCCATGTGATCATCACCATCACTACCCAAACCCCTATTTTGTCCATCACCATCACTCCACCATATCGGTCACTATTGCTACACGCTGCGCTTTCCCGCCCAATTGCCCCCAACCCCCCAGGAGTGGCCAGGTGGCTTCTGCACGCCGGCACGTGGTTCTGCGGCCTCTCAGGGTCCTCGACGGCCCCGTCCAGCGGAGGGGATGACCCCAGAGCTGTCGTCGGACCCGAGTCCATCCGCGAGACGCGGACGTGGCGACGTGTGGCCGACATGAATGCGCTGCTCATCGCGGTGCTCGGAATCTTCGTTTGGGGGTTCTTTGCATGACAGGCAGCAGGGAGCAGGGAGGGGGCTGGTACTGTATGGTGGCTGAGTCCCCATATTAAAAAATGTCACTATCGTAATTAACACCAGTGACGGTTTTTCTGCAGCGTTCACCAGTTGGGAGTGTAACGTTTGTTGAAATTTAGATTAACATCGACTCTGTTGATGTCGCCCTTTTAAACATGGACCCGTTTCAGCAGTGTTCTTCACTCGTTATCAGAGGGGCGTCACTTTTGCCGATAAGACATCATCAGTGTGAGGGCCGCTACGCCACCCTGCCACGATTTGTTGTGTATTGTCGGGGGCCTCGCGTCAGGGACCGCACTAAGGGGCCGTCCATAAATGACGTCACGCGATTTTGGACGATTTTTTACCCCCCCCCCCCCCTCGTCACACAAAGTCAGACCCCCTCTGAAATATGATGTCACAAAGCTCTGCCCCCCCCCAAACCATATTTCCATTTTAAAAATAAAACATGCTTTAAATCGCTTTAAACTATTGTCATTGTAGTGTGTATTTCATGTGGCGCTGCACTCTGATGTTGTAGAAGAAAACACGCATTAAAAAGGAGGCGTTGGAAAGCTTAAATTTAGCATAAAATTCACTTGAAAATATTCGTCTAACTAAAACTGCAGATGTTCAGAAAATTATATTGAAATTATCTTATAATTATAAAATATTAAAAGTAATTATAACTATTAAAAAAATACTTGAAGCTTTGTAGTAAAACGAAGCAAAATTGAGAGTACAATTATCACAAGCACATATTTATTCCACAGAATGAAAAGCCTTGGGAGAATCATTAGAGTCAAAATGTTGAATAACAATCATCAAAAAATGTTCAAAATGTATGCTTCTCCATTCTCCCATGGAGAAGCAAAATGCTCCTTCATGGAATAAATAAAAGGTGACCTTAGTAAATTTTAATAACCAAATAGTTAATAACAAGGCCGTATTAAATTTCGATTTAAAGCTTTCGTGACTGCAGGGATTCATCTTATTGGTTCTTTCGGTAAAGTCACGTAGAAGGGAAGTAATAAAATAATAAAAATAAAACATAATAAAATAATTCTCACGACGTTTCGGCCACAACGCAAGCAGCCGTCCTCAGGTGAAGCATGAAACACCACCAAGCTTGGAGCGTATATTTAAGCTGGGTTGGAGGGGGGAAGGTTGGGAAGAAGAGCGCCTTGACAACATAATTTGCATATCAAGAGGAATTTAGCATATGGAAAATGCGTAGGAGGTGGGCGGGGGGGTTTCAAATTAATATTATGCCCGTGCATTATGCAGTGTTTCATTCTTCACCTGAGGACGGCTGCTTGCGTTGTAGCCGAAACGTCGTGAGAATTATTTTATTATGTTTTATTTTTATTATTTTATTACTTCCCTTCTACGTGACTGTACCGACAAGAACCACGAAGAAAAAAACAAGGACGTAGCCATGGAGTCAACATTGGGGGGGGGACCAAATCTTCCAGGGTCCCAACCTAGAATATCTAAATTAGAAAACTAATTTCCTGCCTAATATTTTAAAAAAATTACTAGCACACGGGATAGACTTTTTTTTTACAATAATGTGTAATAGTGTATTGTATTACATTGCTCTGCTTTTACTTTTTTTTACCATTTCTTGTTTCATTGTATGTAATGGCAAAGATTACGGATTAATAAAGTACAACCATAACCACAATCATATAAACAGAAATCTATGCATTGATTTATATGAAGACAAGTCCAGATATTGTGGCCAAGGTTTAGCAAATTGTTAGTTTGTTTTACATAGCATAGCAATTTTTTTATAGCAATATATTGGGGGGGACAATTTTGAGCATATTTGAATATTGGGGGGGGGGGTGTGTCCCCCAATATATATTATAATTACGGCCTTGGTTAATAATGATAATTAATCAAAATTAGTGTTGTTATAACAATTCTATATTTATTTAAAATTGTGCATTTTGATGTGACGTCACATTTCTCAACTCCCCCCCCCCCTCGTCACACATCGTCACAAATGTCTGACTCCCCCCCCCCCCCCCCAGGTTCGTGACGTAATTTATGGACGGCCCCTAAAGGCCACCAGGGGCCGCCAGTGGCCCACGGGCCTTGTAATGAAGAACACTGCGCTACAGGGTTTCAGGGCTTTCTTACCATTCCAAACGAGCATCGCCAACATCGTGGCTACTTTAATAATCATCATAATCTTCATTCATTCGTTATCATTGTCATCATCATTATTTCTTGTGTTCAAATCACAACAAATGATCCATTGCGCCACCAACAAAAACGTGTTTGCAGATGTATGCGTTACAGCCCAGTGATGTTAATGAACGATAAATACCATGTAACTTAAACCCACTGGATGTCGTTACTTTAAAACAAATTAACCCAAAAAGACTTAAAAAGAAGTTGTATTAAGATACATAAAAAATTGTAAAAACATCGATAACTATTTTAATATCTGTAATAATTTCTTAAAATATTATCGTAGAATTAATTGCATAATTGAGTAGATAAATTGACATATTTAGCTGATGGTTGATGCAGTATTGAACTTGAAATCCCTACATGAAAGCATAGTATGTACTGCTGGGGAAGTCTGAGAACTGCTCGGCAATGCGCTTTCGGCATTAACCCAGGCATGAAGGGCGATCAATAGGTTTTTGAGCATACACTATTAAATGCACACACATACGTTATTGTATATCCAATTTGTAAACCCTATCCCTTCATTCCTCCTCTCTTAACGCAATTGCTTGCTTACTTAGGCCACTACTGGCAGGAATGTCTACACTAGATGGAGCACAGGCATGTTTTGCCTACTCTTCCAGAATGGCCAATCATCTTGGAAAATGGTGGGAGTACCCACATTTTACCCCACCAAACACACGGTACGCAAGAAGTTCAACATACATATGTCGTGACAAATGATGTCACTACTGTGTCGGGTCTGTATACACATGAAGACACTGCTATGTTGGGTCTGTACACGTGACGTCACTGTCAGTTTGGTATGGAGGCTGTTGATGGGTGCCACGGGGGTTGTGTCAGGCCGTGGCACTCCAAGTGACCCCGGATGGGCACGTGACCTGATCCAGGAGAGGGCCGGGGTGCCTGGGAGACACTGGGGGTCACGTGGTTGGGGAGTGGAGCCTTCTCGTGGGTTCGAGAAGGGGGGCGTGGCCAGGGTGTGGCCGGCCAGACCAGAGAGGCTTATAAGCGGGCTCAGCACGGAGAGCGGGGCTGTTGGTGCCTGGGATGAAGCCGTCTCATGAAGACCCTGAAGAAAGAAGCCTCTAGTCATGGTGGCCAAGCAGAAGCCCACCTGGCTTGGCCACGCCAAGTAGTACCCGAGTATTTACACTATTGGAAATGCTTACCCCGAGCTCTCATACTCTGATGGTGCATTGTCTTTGAGTTGTGCGCCTTTTGGCGTCATCTGGTCCAACCCATTTGAGACTAGGCTCTAAGGAAAGCTGTCTCGGATGTGGACCAATCAACTTCAAGGACAGTGCATATATTATCAGAGTTATGTTTTTTGTTTGCATTATGGCTGCAGGTATTGTGGTCTATGCAAACATGACTCCTTGTAAAAAAGGTGTCAGTTTTGTTCCAAGATAGAAGGGTAAAAAAACAATTATCATAGTACCCGAGTGTTAGCGAGAGTAGGACGGTGGTCACCACCTTATGTGTAGGGTGTGTTGCAGTTGTATTTCAGTTGTGTTAAATAAAGTGTTGCCTCCACACGAGTGTAAGCGCCTCTATCAACCCATTACACATACATACACAACCTTCTCGACTGACTGTCTGACTGCGGCGTATCCATTTTTACTGCTGCGAGGACAGAAGCGGTGGGTGGGGGGGATTTAAGACATTCTCCAATTGTGTCAACTGTAGAATGAACCGGTGACATTCTGCAACGAAAATCTGGTGTGCTAACCATTATTGCACCACGGCAGCATCCCTGTATGTGCACACAAGTCAAATTATTCCACGTATACCTTATGGACTACTGGTACATGTGTTTGTTAGCAAGCACCTGTTAAGACCACAACTAAGTGGCGTAACCAGCACTACACTTAGCCACCTTTGTCTCTCCAATGTGGATTTTGACTCTTGATATCAGAGATTATTTTAGGATAAGTTTGCCATATAGGCGGCCCAAGTACGGCTCAGATCTCACTTGCCACGAATGTTCTTGTCCAGGAATCAAACATGGTGGCGAGATGTTATCTGCCTCGCCTGGCCTGCAGGAGACATTGGGTTCGGTCCCGACCCTAGCACCTGTATATTTAGAATTTACATGTTCTCCCCGTGGTGGTGTGGATTTTCTCCGGATTCTCCAGTTTTTCACTCCACACTTAGAAACATGCCCTTAGAGTAGTCAGACGTTATACATTTCCATGTGATAAGCCACTTCGTTAAGCTATAATTCGTGGCCAGTTCGCTTCTGAAAAAGACCTACATAGCTCAGTTGACCTTACCTGGTAAAATAAAAAGTTAAATAATTAACACAGTGCTCAAATCACTATGATTGACATACACACAAACTAACCCGCAAGGTACATTAACATCCCTTAAGGTGACTGGGCAACTGTGATTACTGCTTTGACATAACCCTAGGGAAAATTGCTTCCTGTGAAGGGAATTTTTTGTTCAGCCAGCAGAGCTCAAGAGCGCAGCCCGTGTCCCCTCAGGCGAACATACCCATACATAACAGTGAGCATCCCTGATCAAGGTAGTGGTCTCTCACATTGTACACAGCAGAACATGGAAAATGAGGACAGGAGATATTCTGAAAATGTAATTGCAAGGATTACCTGGGAAACCTGTAATCACTGCAGTTGTGCCCCCAGGCGTGTAAAATAGAGTTGCTGGCAAGGTAAGAAGGAATCGGGAGAATACCGGAAGTAATCCTTCTGAATAGTGGCGACCTCATAGAGGGAGAGTTTATATGAGTTCGATTCCCCCTCCACGGCTAACATCAGTGGCAAGTGAAATCTGAACCAGTCCTGAACGTCCTCACGCCCCCGCCCCCCACCTTTCATTAACCCATACTGACCAGAATTGTGAAGTATGGTCAAACAATCCCAATGACGGACATGTGTGGTTAGGACCTGTATCCAGCAGTGGATTGATAATGTACCCGAAATGTATTATTAATTACAATTATAACTATAACAACAGTAATTCCACTTCTTAGCCCAAAGTCCCACCCACGATTGCATGGGGTTGGCAGCTTGGGTTTTCATTTACTTAATCATGCCATTTTTTTTCAAACATGAAGCTTCTAATGAAGACGATAGCCTCCACATTACACTCAAGGGCTTTGCGAGATATGCCGCTCGTGTAAAAAGCCGTACCTAGCCAAACGATTTGCATTGTTGGCTACGAAGGGTTCGAAAGGAGTTCAGCGTTCATAATACAGTGATACCTCGGTTCACGAACGCTTCTGTTCACGAACAACTCGGTTCACGAACAGAAAAGTTCATAAAAAATATGCTCCGGTTCACGAACTCCGCTTCGGTTCACGAACAGGAGCCGCGGCCATTTTAATACTATTTCCAGGCTATCACATGGTCGTGACTTCCTGTAGGAAGATCGTGGAGAGAAGAAGAGACACAGAAAGAAGTACTGTGAGTACTGTGAAGACACTTTCAGTGACTTTTTGCTTTTTGGTGTGCTTTTTAGCACATACAGTACAGTACTGTACTACTGTACTGTACTGTACAATACTGTACTTACTGTATTGTACAGTTCACCCGTTTGAGTGCTTACTGAAGTCATCTCAAGCAAGGTTAGTGTTCTCTCTTTATACATTACTATACTGTACAGTACTAATGTGTATTGTAATTTGTTTCATATTTTTGTGCTTCAAAAACCAAAAAAAAAGGTCAGAACGGATTAACCGGATTTACATTGAACCCTATGGGAAAATGTGCCTCGGTTCACGACCAATTTGGTTCGCGACCAGAGTCAGTTCACGAATTAAGTTCGTGAACCGAGGTATCACTGTAAAG